ATTGCACGGTGTTGATCGATTAAATTTTAATTGCAGATTTCTCGATGTCGGCCAAACTCTTCAACGAGTGATTCCAATTAATTCGGTATTGACCGGTCGTGGAACAGTGAAAAAGAAAATCACGTTGCTCTTTGATCTGTTTCACCGTCGATTAGATCGTCGCTTAAAAACGGCGGATGTGATTAAATCCATGACGATGCTTTTTAAAAAGCTCATCAATTTCATTGTTACATGTTTGATTATCTTAATTCCTTCTTGGATTACAAGTGTCATGTAAATTTTTCAATTATTTGAATGTATTCTATCAGATATTAATTGCAATTTGATAATATAATTAATTTTATAGTGTACATTAAATGAGGCTCCCAAATATGATTTTTGAAATTAAGTCCGCGAGTTTTAATGTGCATTCTAAAAGATAAAGAAACGACGAAACTTTGAAGCAAAATTAATCGCTAATAAATATTTCTACCGGTGTATTCAACATTGTGCTCGTTTAAGAACAGAGATTTTTGAAATACAAGAACGACCCCTCGAATGGAATCTCGGTCGATTAACAGAAGCTCTGAAACGAAACTCGTTAAATGATATAATTTACTTTCTTCGTCTATCCAACCTAACCAGACTTAATCAGTTTCCGTTCTCGTTCCTCTGAAAATTCATCCAGCTCGTGTTACATGTAATACTCGCGAAAGTAAAGTGATTAACCGTCGAATGAGACCGATGATATGTCTGCATTCGGGACCGAGAACGATTTCGGAATTATTCATCGTGGTTAAATGTTTCCTTCCGTATCCTGTCGCGATTCTTCTCTCTTCTGCACGACGATTCAGTTTCACGGGCATTCGTTTTGGAATTGAAAGACCAGCCTGTAATTCTTCTAATTGTTTAATGGCAGTTCTTGTCGAAGATAGAGGAAACTTCTTCTTTAATTGCCTTTCGACTGAGGACTGTTAATCTGAATTAAATTACGCGAATCAATCAATATTTTTTCTTTATATTTTTCTAAAATAAATATCATAACGATGTACGAAATTTCGTGATGAAAAAGAAATAATTGTTGAATTGTTCATTTGGAACGAAGAGGTTTCCATTTGCAAGATTTGCGCATTAAACCCTTGTTCCGAACGTTAATTAACTCCTTCCGCGTTTATACTATATGTATATGCTGACATAACGAGTTACAGAAGCACCACTTTTCAACTGAACGTGCATTATTCGTTATTTTCATTACGTTTTGCACGATATATTTATTGCATTAAAATCTCAACTACATATAATGATCCCACATACTTTTAATTAAAGTATACAGCCTATTAAAAAATCCAATGAAAAATATTGAAAAGAAAGAGATCAAAATCCAGCTGTGAAAATTTAAGCATTCTTCATTACATGTAACCGATCCGTATCGCGCTTGAGAAAAGCTGATAATTATAATCGATAATTGGAAGAAGTTAATTAACCAGTTAAATGAGACATCTTAAACACCTGTTAAAGGTGGAACAATTAATTTTGCACAAATTATAGGATTTATCTTAAGCTTCTCATCAAAGCTAATAAAATACATACAAAGTTCCAAATAACACAATTAATGATCAAAACTCGCGGAAATAAGTTTGTTACTTTCAATAAGAGGAGGTTCAGGTGTCGAATTTTTACGTGGCCAAGTTCCTACGTAACGACACACAAATTTAAAGAGAAATCCCACAGACAGGGATTGAAGGAAATATCAGTGGTGTCGTGACGGGGTATAGGTGGAAGCTTTGCCTTTCGGCATCTTTGTCGCAACGGAGGGATACACATAAAATGTCTTTACAATTCGTCTCGCTGCCATTTGAACGTCGTTCCTTTTTCTCTGCCACCTCCCACCTGTCGATCCACTTATCTCTAACTTTTCACGAGCAGCTTATCGATCTTAACGCACGTCCTGTTTGACTTCGACCGACGTTGTCCTCCATTTTACAGGTTGATTCAAAAAACCATGAAAATTTCAATTTCTCCGTACCGAAAGAAACTATCCTCAGCTCTTCTGCCATTCTGATTTAAAATTCGATATTGGACTTTACTGAGTGCTTTTTATAATAATTGATAGACCGATAAATTGAAATATTGGCATTTCTACAAAATTTTGTGCATAAGGGTCTGAAAGTTATTCTTTCTTTAATAATTTATGAAAAGATTGACTTAAATGATATATTTTATAAAGAGAAATAAGGGTCCTTTGATTTTGAACAGAAACGTACGTGCTCTTTATTTTATCTCTTCTATAAACTTGCAGAATTTCATTAACGTTCATCTTCTTCGCTGGCGTAACGTTTTAAAAGTAATGAATAAAATGAAAAAAGCAAACTACGTCCGTAATCACGTGTATTTAGCATCAAACCGCGAACAGATGCACGGTCGAGGGGTTTATGTCGTAAAATTCGTCTGCGAAAGGAAAGTTTCGTACAGCCGTAGGTTCGAGGGGATCCGAGCAAGAAAGTTCCTCGTATAACTTTCTCGGTAGACGAATCACCGCCAGGTTCGGCTCGGTTTCTGGCTTTAGCCGCGCACACCGATCAACCCCGAAGCGGGTAATTAAACCCGCTCGCCTCCTTACTCTTCGACTTTGAATTCTCGCGCGTCGTTTACTATATTAAAACGGAATCGTAGATTCTCAACCGTGGCGCAGTTAATTGTAGGATTCGTCTCATTATTCTATCGTTGAACACCGACTAACTTTCCTGATTTCAGAAGATATCGAGTATCGAAGGAAGAACGATAGCTTCGGGGAATACAATGGACAGGAAATTCGTCTTTGATCGAAATTCCCTTTGAATTTTTTCCCATATGTTGAAAAACATAACGAATCGGAAAGTTCATAATTTTGGGACTTAAATAGCTGAAAATTGAATGCTCGTTAATGGACGATACTGAGCTATAAATTAGTTAATGCATTGTTTCAAAAGAAAACCAGCCATTTGGTGTTATGAATATTGATGAAGTATTTATGTATTCATTTTCGTCAAAACTTTAAACTGATGTGCCATTAGTGCCATTTCGCGGTACTTTTATATAATTAAACCATATTAGAGCTCGTATGTTTCAAAATCCATCATTTGGTATGCAATAACCTCATAAGTTGAAAAAAGGGTTAAACCAAAAAATTATTTTTCTTTTATTACAAACATGGTTCTTCTAACAGTTTGATTGACAGTCTAAAATCATCAAAAATCTATTTAATTAATAGTTTTGCTTTCCATCAGTGTAGATATTATTTGTAGGGTATAACACTCGACTATTCCAGAAGACAATAGAATTGAATTCAGTATACAAATAAATATGTGTTTGGTGTAACTTGTTGTTAGTATTATCAATAATTATGTGCGAAATGTTTGCTGTCTAGCAGCTGCTCGTATCAGCTTCACAGAGCCAAATTCATGTTACTGAAATGAAACTAATTGAATGTACGAGTAATTACATATTGCATCTGGTCTCCATTGTTATAACGAGGTCAAGCATTCGCAGAGACATGCACAACGCAACAGATGTGACCATCTTCCTTGAATACATTACCCTTAGACAGGTATCACAGCATTCTACAGACCCATACGAAATTGCATATAAATAAACATTTGAACCTAAAGAATGTGAAAAAGGACGTAAACGACGAAAACACAATTTTTAATTATACTCGCAGGTTATTTGAAGTTTAAAAATAGAATATTTGCGCTAGTTGAAGCAACAGCAACTAAGTAGAATTAACTGTTATTTAGCATACCAGAATCTCGTTATGAAGTATCGACGTAAATTAGAAAAGTTTCACGCCGGATACCGTACTAGGTGGATTGTTTCCGTTCAATCGCTGAGCTTAACAACAATTCTCTGTTCTCCTGCTAATAAACATATGACGAGAAAGAACAATTCCATTGCATAATTTTATATGACGTAAATTTATATCCAAAGCACGGTGTTTGAAAAAAAAAAAAATCAGTGTAAACTGATGTAAAATTTAGAGATGAATTTTATTGACATATTCAAGAATGACGTGATGCTGGCACCCGTTTTTCAGGTTTTTATGGGCTACGTCTATGGGCAAAAATCAACTGCTAGGTTCGCGATACCTCTGCTTTTCTATTCGCTTCGACGTGGTCGAAATTGCTTTTATGCCTGTCAATTCCATTTTTTGTTGCTCAGAGACCGAATCCTGCACACCGATCATAGTGTTTCTGTTTACTCGACCTTTCTATTTCGCTGGATCAACTTTTAGGCATCGTTTTACGGCTGCGAGCTTTTAACGCGATCCACGATCATCCTATTTCATTTTCCAGCGCCCACGACGATGGTTTCTCGTCAGTTTAGAGTTTATATGAGTTTATTGCTGTGGATTGTAGTTCAATATTTTTTTTTTTTTTTTTTTTTTTCTACAAACGGTGTATACAGAGAGTTTACAGAAACACTTTAAACAAACCTCAAAATGGTGCAAAGTTCTCTTGCATACGTTTTACGCGTGACCGTAGAAAAATTAGTTGTGCTTGGGTTTGAACGAACGAGATGTCAGCAACAGTACTGCAGTAATTGTTTTGTCTCTGCCACAGTTCAATTTGTTTCGAACGTACAAATACTGATACTTTACTAAGCTTCTTTTCTGAATTGAAACAAACATCATTCACTATAAATTACTATAAACTTGCATACTCTATTTAACATAGACGTGATAAAAAAATACAATTCTCATGTAGGCTATGATAATACACGTAGACTCTGTTGTATCGCACGATCGCTTCGTACTTGAAGGGTTAAATAGGGTAAGTTTAATTATAACCACCCTGTAAATGAGCCTACCCATATCTCTGTCATGAAACACGCTTCATTGATACAAAACAATGTACGCATTGATTAATATTTATAATTAACAACTGAAGTCTAATTTCATCAATTACAATTTCTTTTTTTAAACGATAATTTAATCATTGACTGATTCTTGTACAATTCAAGGATTCTTGTTAAAAAGGACTGACCTTGTAACTTGGTGATGTTCCTCGTTACTTTGTGCCCGTTAACGAGCTGCTCGCGTAAATGGGTTCTCTCACGATGACGCTGATAATTGCCGATAACGATCGTGGTCGTCATCAGCACGAGAAACAACTTCGGCCCCCAGGCCGGTCTCATTGACATCGTCCCCCGGTTTTCGCATCCCCCGAAGCTTCTGATATTCTCCGACGTCTGTTGATTTTACCCAGCCTTCGGCGTGGTGGTAACGCGGATCCCTCGACTATCTGAAATCCAAATAACGATGAAAATCATTTGTCGTTCAATCTTTCCGTTGCGAAGTGATTGCGTTCGATATCGTCACGGAGATATCGTGTGCTTGATCGTCGATTAATTAAGTACCGTACGGTACCATGGAATCCAGTGTAGAATCAGAGTTTTATCGGTATTCTCAATATTAAAAATGAATGTACATCAAATATTTGACAGCAAACTACAAGCGAATAGAAAAATGGGTTTTATATTTCAATAAAACATAGTAGAACTTTGAAACTATCGAAAAGGTTTCGATTACAATTTTTCTATCTGTCCTCTGTTTTATTGGGAGAAATAGAATATTTCATTTGAGATACTATAGCGAAGTTTGTACGTTTTGAAAGTCAATCTTGTTTGCAATCTAATCCGCCATTTATCTTTCATATCCAAACGAGGACATACATTTTTTTATTGATGGCATATTGAAATTCCTGACAGCTTCATCGCCATTCATCTGCATTCTGTTACAAGCATTTATATGCATCAGAATTGATCATACCTTTTACAACAGATTTCATTCTATGGATAATGTATAACACATTCTGTCATTATCTTTAATGATATGTAACGCAATCTCTTCATATTGAAGAATTATCTTCTCATATACCCAAATACATTATCACTTATTCACTCTTTGTTATAATTTTGGTTTCCGCTTTGTATTGGAAATCAGAACAGATTTCGTTGTATAATATGTAATGAAATTTGAACGAAGTCAAATAATTGTTTATAGATGAATAATTTTAGGTAATTGTAATTACAAATAAGGCCGGGTTATCCAGGTAGAACGTTTCCAAGGGATTAACATCGAAATGAGAAATTTTAATATAAACTATAATAAAAATTTGATATGAAACGAAAATGCTTTCCATGAACGATATCAAACACGAACCTCGAAATAGTGTAATTATACCAAAAATTGCGTTTCTTTTTTTTTTTTTCTTCTTTCTTATAAAATATAATTGTCACAGGATAAAATGCAACAGAATTCATTAATGTTCTCGATAGTGAATAGAAATGTGTTTGACGTACGATTCAATTCTCGTTATTCGTAGTTACAGTTGAACGGTTCATTCCACGGAGGATTTCAATTATCGAGAAAAAGTTTGCAACGATGAATCAAACCCAATCGTCGAGCGAGATGTTCTTGTGACATATAGAAGAGATAAATATTTAATTGAAAAAGTTGAATGTATGAAGCATTAACGTGTCTGCGAACGGTTTTTGTACCACGCTGGTTAATGGCAACCAGAGTTATGAATATTAAATTATATTTCATGGGATAGCAGAAATACACGGTACAAGTAAAAAGATTGAAACAGGAAGCTTCTGTTGCGTTACTCGTAAATAAAATGTTAAAAACATCTCATAATTGCAATTCTATTAAATTGCAGTTACAAGTTCGTTCAAAATAATAACTCAGACTTTTAAAACTGCTAATTGTTTAAAACGAAATACGCTCGTTGTTCGCTGAATATTGTATTAAATTACCAATAACCTTCACTGCGGAATGACCCGATTGAGATCCGTGAACGATACGCGAACACGTGAATTAATTAAAGGTTTCTGTAGCAACTTTCATGGAATTTTAAGCTGGAAATTGACACGGCGTTGGTGCTAATTTAAAATATCGAATCTTGTCAGATTTTTAATCAATTCCAAAATGATTCTTAGAAAACGCTAGATATTATTCATTTTTGTCAAAGTTCAAAATTTCTGGTTTTGTCCAGGTTTTCGGTAAAAATACTGCAGCGTGGGACGTGTAACAGAATTCGAAAGGGACAGAAATAAAAAATGGGGGAAGCAATTCGGCGAGATAATTTCCCAAGAAACACGTTTCCAAACGAGTGTGCACCGTTTGACGTAAGCCACCAGTTTCAGTCGAACAATTTTTCGTGCCCGCGCGAATTACTGTCAAAGTCTCGTTTCGAGCGCAACGATAACCCGAAGCTGGAGAGAGACCGATAGATAGAGCAGCGAGGAGATAGAGGGAAAAGAAAATAGCAGCTATTCTAACGGGGATGTGATCAAAGTACGAACACGCGCCATTGCATGCACGTCGACAAGAGATGCAAGTATCCGCCGATACATCGCATAGGAACATTCGGCAGCCCGACCGAGAATGATCTATTCAAGTATCCAGGTCGTTGGCATATCTCTTTCATCGCTGAATCTCGAAAAATTGTTACAGCTTCGCGAAATCTGCTCGAAAGTCAGCGAGAAAGCCGCGAGGCTACAATCAGACCAAAAGATATCGATATACGAAGATAAAGAAACATATGCTGAATAATACCAAATTATTACCTTGCAGAAATAACCTTTCATTTTTCTATGGAAAGGTATTCTTCGTTAATTTTTATTTTCTATTTTAGAAGATTATAAATTATATCAAACTTACAAATGATATATGTTTAAAATTAACATAAAAATTTGTGTTAATTGACATTCATCTGACTCCTATTTTCCATAATTGAGCATCAATACATAAAGGAGCCACATTTAAAACGAGCTGCAAAATGATTCGCTGACTTTTCAAATGATTTGATAAAATAAGTGGCGTTCATGCGAGTGTCACGTCAGTGCGTTAAGTGGCAAAAATAGCACAACTTCGTTTAATCATCGCGTTAATCCTTGTTGCTTGGTAGTGAGTAGGAAATGAAAAGCGAATCACGAGCTGTAAACCTAATGAGACGGGACGAAAAGTGCCCTCCGCTGATAGAGAATTCAGTAACACGCGACTCTCCGCTCCCACACGAGTTTCATCTATTCAATTACGGCCTCAAGCGCCACTTCCTTTTTGTCGTTGTTGAATGGATCAATAGAATGAAAACCGAGCGAGAATAATGAGACGAGTAACCGGTTAAAAGCTTAATAATCCGCCTTATTTTAGAATGACAATTCGCTGGGACCGCGTGCCCGCAGAAGGATCGATCAACACATTGCGACCCTTGTTCAAATATCACCAACTAGAAATACCTCTGGTTCGAATGTCATCCCATTTTCGTGTCGAATGATGCTGCATAGACAAGTAACAAGCACCTCGTTCTAGAACGGTGAATACCGATCGAAAAGTAGCATCATTACTGTTTAACGCTTCAGCAGTGACACAAGACACGATCATTTTCCTCGAGTGATGTATAAAAGACAATGTTTCACGAAATCACCTGTGGCAGATTTTTCCCGAAAACCTTTCTATTTGACCTGAAATAGAAAAGTGCAAGTTTCGAATAAAATAGCATCATTATTGTTTGACGCTTTGGTGGCGGGATTTGGAGGTACTTGTTTGCGAATTTTCAAGAAAGTCAAGCATGCGGAGTTTTTAAATTGCTTTGAGACCGATGTAGACTTGCGAGTTTTGAAAATCTCGAAAGTGAAACTTTGAAAGTCTTGAAACTTTTAAGAGCCCTGAAGTGACGCTGATTGTTGTGCGTTTTATTTCAACTAAAAATTTTCTTGCCCTGATGTAAATGTAATTTTTACAGGATAACGTGATGTTATATTTATTAAGGAATAACTGATAAATAATGATAATTCGATGAAATATTTCTGCTGCTGAAATTAAGGAAAGGGGGAGAACAATGAGGCGGTAACAAGGTTATTCGCCCTCAATTTCGAAGTGCTAACTTTTATACGGAATTTCTTCTAGCCGGGGTATTTGATTTCCCGAGTTAATACGAGCAGGGACATCAAAGTCTCAGAGACACTGAATTTCGTTCGCAAGTAGAAATGATTTCGTGGTTTCAGGTCAATTCGGTTTGCAGTTTGCTCAACGGCTAACCGTTCGATGTAGACACTAGAACAATGCGAGGATAATAGAAAAGGAGGCATTGATCGGGTTGTCTTTTTCAAATAGACTATATAGATTGTTCAGGTCATTATTAATCAGGATTTTCCTCTTACACGATAAGAAATAATAAAGAAAATAGCACAAAAAATTGTTTGATAAATGAAAAGCAAAAAAAGATGAAAGAGGAAGGTAATCGATGAAGCTCTTAAAAACTAATCAGGTCAACTCCATAAAATGAAAAAGTAGAGAAAATTAATGAAGATGCTACGAATTAAAAATTTTCTAGCAATTTTGCTCAAATTAAATTTGAAATTTAATTACCATAAGTAAAAAGCATTGTATGTAATAAATCCTCGATCATAATACCATGCACTGTGTTTCCAATTAAAAATTCTTCATTTGCATTTTGCAAAGTTAATATTCATCAGAATCGTGTGCTCGCGATAATTACGACTTTTTCATACGTGTTACCATAATCACAGCCTCGCTACCTTGATTCTTCATTTAAAATGTAAAACGCGTGCCAAGGAGCCGATCATGTTGCAACAATGTACAAGCGTTTCCCGTCCTGGAACCTACGGGACAATTAGACAGTTGTGCTGGAAAAGGGGATTACAATTGGAAACGGTATGAGGACGTGACACGGGACCGAAATTAGGTGAACGACGTACAATACGGTGGAAGGCGATAGTAAGGAATGCAGAAAAAGGAGGAGCTGGTGGAGAAGACAAAAAATTTCATGCAGCTAACAGAAGAAAATTGGAGTAGTACATGGCGGAAGAAATTACAAAATATAAACGAAAGAGAAATTGTGAAAAAGGTCACGGGAAAGGAACGAAGTAAAGAAACAAGAGGAAAATAAACATAGCACGAATTGAAAAATCAATTATGAAAGAGAAGAGAAAATTAACTGGATATCCAAAGGGCGATCAAATGAATCATACGGAGGATGATGGAGAAAAGTTTTATTTAACTCAAGAGTTGACACCTATTTCATTTAATTAAATAGTAAAAAAGATGAAAATTAATCGAGGAGGAAAAAGACCGACTGAAGCGAAGAATAAACAAAGGGAAGAAGTTTGATATTCGTGGAATAGAATTAGAATGCATGATCATCTCGGTGAACGAACTTTTCCCGGTTCCATGGGATTCAGCTGTGACCACCGGATGTTGTGAACCGGAAGC